TATTACCAATAAGAATTTCAGTAAAATATGTGATTTCGAGTAGCTCTCCCAAGGAGGGGAAAACAGCAGGTGTCTCTTAGTGCTCTAAGCTCTGAGTACATATAGCCCTTCTCCGTGGCACACCTCTTCCTCCTGCCATGTCAAGTGCACATCTAACTCTTTCCACACTATCGAAATGCAAATGTTTTCTCTGTGCCAAAATTCGCTGTTGTCAAATAACCATCGTATCTCTGCTTTGCCTGGTGATGCAGAGAGGGGCATCTCCCTGCCTATGTCCCTGGCCAAGCCCCTCTTCCCTGTACTAAGGGAAGGCCCATGGGGCAGAGCCAGGATTGCTGGCCCCAAGGCTTACCCCTCCTTCCTCTACCAGGAGCAAGTCTTGGAGCCTGCAACGGCCAGAACCAGTCTCCCTGCAACTGAAGACAGATTGCCGTGTGCTGGGCCTGAGAGAGATCCTGAAGACGTATGCAGGTACTGAGTGCTGGGTTAGATTGCGATGGGCAGTGGGAGGGACTCCTCCCAGAGAATTAAATGGTTCAGTGCCCTCTGGGTGCCCCAGCTAGCCTCACTCCCACCCATCACTGAGAAATCTGTGGCTGTATTTATCGGAGACCTTGCCCATGCCCCCTGTTTCTGTACCAGTGTTGCCAACCGGGATCTTTTTCCATAGCTGATGTGCGCCTTGATCCAGACACTGCTTATTCCCGCCTCGTCGTGTCTGAGGACAGAAAATGCGTGCACTATGGAGACACCAAGCAGAAACTGCCCGACAATCCTGAGAGATTCTACCGCTATAACATCGTCCTGGGCAGTCAGTGCATCTCCTCAGGCCGGCACTACTGGGAGGTGGAGGTGGGAGACAGGTCTGAATGGGGCCTGGGAGTGTGTAAAGAAAACGTGGACCGGAAGGAGGTGGTCTATTTATCCCCCCACTATGGATTCTGGGTGATAAGGCTGAGGAAGGGAAATGAGTACCGGGCAGGCACCGATGAATACCCCCTGCTGTCCTTGCCAGTCCCTCCCCGCCGGGTGGGTGTCTTCCTGGATTATGAGGCCCATGATATCTCCTTCTACAATGTGACCGACAACGGCTCTCACATTTTCACTTTCCCCCACTATCCGTTCCCTGGGCGCCTCCTGCCCTATTTCAGTCCTTGCTACAGCATTGGTGCCAACAACACTGCTCCCCTGGCCATCTGCTCCCTGGACGGGGAGGACTAGGAGAGCTACCATCTCTGCCAGAGGCCCTGGAATTTCTCCTGGGCCACAGGGGTCTTGGAGGGCCCTGCCCCTGGCAAGGCTGCCTTTGAACTGAGCCGAACCTAGAATCCAAGGACTTTTCTGCCTGGCTCAGTGGTCTGCTGCTCCTGAGCCAGAGTCTTGCACTAAACCACTCCTGTGAAAGAGTTAAGGC